CCTACTACTACTACTACTACTCTCTCTCTCTCTCTCTCTCTCTCTCTCTCTCTCTCTCTCTCTCTCTCTCTCTCTCTCTCTCATTTTAAAATATTCGTTACCTTAAAATGGAACCCACTTCGGGTGCAGAAATATCAAATTCTAACTTTCCTCCTTTTCGAACAATAACGGTAGTATAATCCTCATTTGGCTTGTCCATATTGTTGGCGTATAATTCTTTAGGTATTTTTCCTCCTTGGCAAATCTGATAACAATTTTCGGCTATCATACCTCGATATAGAATGCAACACATATTTTAAAGGGAATAAAATAAATTTATTACTTCAAAATAAATAAATTTCAATAAAATATAAAAATTGCAATAAAAAATCAAATTCACCGATTTTAGAATTTTTTTTTTTTAATTTAAAGAGAGAGATATTATTTTTATTTAAAAACATTTCTAGTTCCCAAATGTTTTATACTTGTGTATATAATTTAAAAAACTAATTGAACTATTACTTTTGTAGTATATTTGGGATTGCCATCTGGATCTTTTAACGTTCCACCATAATAAGCAGGTAGTTGGTCCTTGGGTATAACTTTAAAAAGAGCTGCTTGCCATTTTGTTGGGTCGGCTTTGTAGATTTGTATTTTCGATAATGTATAGTCATCCATAAACTTTTTGACAATAGAAAAAGCAAAAGCGAATACTCTTGGAGCTATAACAATGCATACAATTGCTATTGTTAATAATTTCTCAAGTTCTATTTCTCAAGTTCATTCTATTTCTACGATTTTTTAAATCGTAGAAATCGCTATTCGTTAATTTTTTAAATTAAATTTAATTCAACAATACGTTTTGTGTAAAAATTTAAATTATGTATCGATATTGTTCTCGAAAGAAGTTCCTGTGGACAGTCTACGAATGTAGTTATGCGATTTAACAATGACCTACTGATGTCAACGACGATTTGACAATAGTCTGAAATATCTGGTATATATTCAAATGTTTTTTTTTATAAAGAAACTTTTCCTCCCAAAGAACACATAGTGGCGAAAATGATGACTTTTAATAACAAATTGACATATGTCATATATTGACGTTAAAAAAAATTCTATAGTAATATGGAAATCTTTTTTTCTTCGTTGTGACCTTATAAAGATATGCGTTGAAAATGTGTGATCATTTCCAATCAAAATAAAGCTATTCTGGTTTTCTGTTGAATCTTTGATGTTTTTGGGATTTGTTCTTTAAAAACAGATATAGCGTCAAAAAATATCTGCATTCTTTCGTTGTAATATGCGAACAGTGCGTTAATGCATCAAGATTTTATTATATTTAATAAACTTACCGTTGATCAGAAAGCATATTTTCAAAATTTCCGGATAGTTTGCCTCATACATTTGAATAAACATGATGACCAACTCGCCGGCTGCAACGGTACGCATTGATAAGACAACAATGGAAGAGAAAGCGGTAGGATGCAAGTAGAATAGCATTTGTACCGACACATTTCTCAAACTATTCTATGAAAAATATTTTTACCTGGTTTCCACAAATATTGCTTAAGGTTGAATCCTTCCAGGTCGAAAATGACGGATAATTGATTGGCAACTTGTCCGTGCTTCTTGGTTTGTTCCCTGGCTAGTTTTAAGTAACCGTCTAATATTTTTATCATAATTTTTATGAATTCCTTTTGCGTTATTACGTGTAGTGCTCCGTACATATCCAAACCGGCAAATGGTACAATAATCACTGTAAAAATTATGTATATATATATATATATATATGTGTGTGTGTGTGGGT